ACCTAAAGGAAATGGATAAATATTTTGAAATTCACAATCTACCTAAACTGACATAAACCAAAATTGAACACCTGAACAGACTCATTACAAAAGAAGAAACGGAAAAGGTAATGAAACAATTTCCAGCCAAAAAAACCCTGGACCAGATGGTTTTACAAGTGAGTTTTATCAGATACCCAGAGAAGAACTGACACCAATTCTACATAAACTATTTCAGAAAATAGAAAAAGATGGAATTCTCCCAGACATTCTATGAAGCAAACATATCCTTGATATCAAAGCCAGGTAAAGACACTACCAAACCTACCTAAACTGACACAGACTGAAATAGAACACCTGAACAGACCCATTACAAAAGAAGTAATTGAACAGGTAGTGAACAAACTTTCAACAACAACAAAAAGCCCTGGACCAGATGGTTTTACAAGTGAATTTTATCAAACATTCAGAGAAAAACTGTCACCAGTTCTACATAAAGTATTTCAGAAAACAGAAAAAGACTCATTCTATGAAGCAAACAAATCCTTGGTACCAAAGTCAGGTAAAGACACCATCAAAATAGAAAACTATAGGCCAATATCTCTCATGAACATAGATGCCAAAATCCTAAATAAAAAGAAAATCCTGGCCAAGAGAATCCAAAAATACATTTAAAAAAATCACCATGACCAAGTGGGATTCATAACAGTTGTGCAAGGATGGTTCAACAAAAGAAAAACAATCAGTGTAATCCTTCACATCAACAAAAAAACCCAACAAGAACCACATGATCCTATCAAATGATGCCGAAAAGGCCTTTGACAAAATCCAACACCCTTTCCTGATTAAAACACCCAACAAAAGAAGAATAGAGGGGAATTTCCTCAACATAGTAAAAAGTATATACATCATTCTCAATGTTCTCTTTGAGAACAGGAACTAGACAAGGATGCCCACTATCACTTTTCTTATTCAATATTGTAGAGAAAGTCTTAGTGATTGCAATAAAAGAAGAGAAAGAAGAGGTATCCAAATTGGCAAAGAGGAGGCAAAATTATCTCTATATGCAGATCATATGATAGAATATTTAGAAAACCCTAAAGACTCAGTGAGAAAACTACTGGACATACTTAATTGACCAATTCAGCAAAATGGCAGGATACAAGATCAACATAACAGAAATAAATTGTCTCTCTCTACAAAGAGAATATAACCCAGCTATTCCACTACTTGGAATATACCCTAAGAATATGAGAACTGAGGGACAAACTGAGATTTGTACACCAGTGTTCAGAGCAGCATTATTCACCATCACAAGAACAGCCCAAATGTCCAACCACAAACAAATGAATTGAGAAATTATGGCACATTCACAGTGGAATACTATGCAGCATGCAGGAGTTTTGTAAATTATTGCCTAACTTGGAAGGGACTGGAGAGCATTATGCTGAGTGAACTAACTCAATCCCACAAGGATAAATATTGAATAAGACCGTTATTGTAGAAGGAGTATAAGGATCCAGGAGGGGTGGGAGAGGCTGGAAGCAGAGGGATGTGGATGTACAGGGGGAAGAGGGTATTAATCATTGGATCGTGCAATTTGATGGGTGGGGGGTGAGGGAAATGGAAAGAATTTGTATTAGAATTTTGTAAATAAACTAGTGGGGGGAAAAGCTTGGGGAGGGAGAAGGGAGGAAGAGGGGGTAAAATATGCAACAATGAATGAATGAAAATCTAACTCTTCTGTAAACTTTTGTTAAAATTACAATTAAAATTACTAAATTAATTTTTTAAAACGCCTTTTTGAGAGGATAGGGCTCCCGTGAACATGGTCAATGTTCCCAAAACTCACCGACTTTTTGCCAAAAGTGTGGCAAGCACCAGCCCCACAAAGTGACACAGTACAAGAAAGGCAAAGACTCTCTGTATGCCCAGGGAAAGCGGTGTTATGATAGGAAGCACAGTGGCTTTGGTAGGCAGAACAAGCCAATTTTTCAGAAAAAGGCAAAAACTACAAAGAAGATTGTATTAAGACTAGAATGTGTTGAGCCAAACTGCAGGTCTAAAAGAATGTTGGCTATCAAAAGATGCAAGCACTTTGAACTGGGAGGAGATAAAAAGCAAAAGGGTCAAGTGATCCAGTTCTAAGCTTCATCTTACTTTATCAAGACAATAAACTCTGAGATTTTCCTGTTCACTTCATTTGGGAGGGAAATAAAATGCCGCTTTTCATTATTGGGTGGGGAGGAGAGTTAAAAAGAGATCTGTAGAAATGGAAGAATATATTCTGATTATGTATAGGAAGACTCAATATTGTGAAAATTACAGTTCTACCAAAGGCAATCTACAATTCAATGCAATCCCAAAACAAATACCAATTCCATTCTTCAAGGAGATGGAAAAGGCAATTTCCAATTTTAACTGGAATAGAAGGAGACCCCGAATAAGCAAAGCACTCCTTAAAGAGAGAAACAAGGTAGGAGGCATCTCACTCCCTGATCTCAAATCCTGCTACACTGTCGTAGCGGTAAAGACAATGTGGTACTGGTACAATGACAGACACATAGATCAATGGAATAGAAATGACAATCCAGAAATCAGCTCATCTACCTATAGTCAAGTGATTTTTTTTTACAAGGAGATCAAATCAATTAAGTGGGGAAACAAAATCCTCTTTAACAAATGGTGTTGGCCATATACTAAAATTGGAATGATACAGAGATTAGCATGGCCCCTGTGCAAGGATGACACGCAAACAAATGGTGTTGGCAAAATTAAAAAACCATCTATAAGAAACTCAAGACCTCACGCCATACACAAAAACCAACTCAAAGTGGTTCAAGGATCTAGGAGTAAAACCAAGGACTATAAACATCATCAGAGAAAAACCTGGAAGGACTATAGGAGCCCTAATCCACAATATGAACAGTCTTCCAAGCAACCTGAAAAAGTTGCAACCAGGAGAGAGTAAAATAGATGAATGGGACCTGCTAAGAATCAAATCCCTATGCACATTAAAAAGCTTCTCCAACAAGGTAAAAAGGAAAGCCACAGACTGGGTAATGACATGTCTGATAAGGAACTTATATCTAGAATTTATAGAATACATCAGCACCTTAACAAGATAAACAGTCACCAATAGTAAAATGGGCACAGGATATAAACAGACACTTCACCAAAGAAGACATTCAGATGGCAAACAAACACATGAAGAAATGTTCAAAATCCCTAGATCTGAGAGAGATGCAAATCAAAACAATTATGAGAGATCATTTCACCCCAGTAACAGCAGCAAAGTTCAGCAGAGCAGCAAACAACAAATGCTGGTGAGATTGTAAAGAAATTAGAACCTTTACTCACTGTTGGTGGGAGTGTAAAATGGTGCAACCACTATGGAAGGCAGTATGCACTTTCTCAAAAAGTTGTAAATAAAAATACCATTTGACCCACCAATGGCTTTGATTTTTCTAATGATGCATGATGCAGGAGTGGAGAGGATCCCATTCTGTCCAATAACTAAGCGACCAAACCTGTTGGCGGTGGAGATGCGGACGATGAGCTGAATGGCTTCTTTCCTGTAGAACCTGCCATCCCCGCCCACTCCTGCTGCAGGGCCGGATCCACCGTGGAGATGATACTCTGGATAAAATTCTCCGCGCAGTTAGCGCTGCTCTGGAACACCTTCACCCGCTTCCTCAGCTGGCTTGTGCCTGGCTTCTGATCTGGGTACACCTTGGTCTTGACATTCACGGTCTTTACCATCCTGGAGACTTGCTGTAAGGCATGTGCTAAGCAAGGGAAAGCAGGAGCTGTCACTTTTGCTGTCTTCAAAGATGATATCCTTGATGTCATCCCACATTCATCTGGTCTTTGATCATTGCTGTTCAGTGTTTCACATCTTCCCCCCAACCAAATCTATTAAGATGATTTTAAATCCAGATGGGATAGACTCAAGATCATATTTTGGCTCTCGTGGACTTTTCATTTTCTTCAGCCTCAACTGGAATTTGCACAATTGATGAGTTAAGACCTCCTTAAAAAGCATCAAAGATCTATCAACAAATGATTGGGAAATTAACAGTATAGTCACACAATGGAATACTAATGTAACACTCATGTAATGATTTTATAAAATACTAGATAACATGAGAAGCTAGAGAGCTGAGTAAACTAACTCAGCAGAATAAGGGCAGTCTCATAAGGACAAATACTGCATAAGACCACTATTGTAAAAACAGAATAACAATTAGTAAGAAAGATGTGGATGAAAGTCCAAAAGGGGAAGAGGTGGAGATCAGGGGGTTTGTGGGTGGGGATGTGTGGAAATCACAAGGTCAGAGTTTGGAGTTTGGTGGTTCAGAGGAAGGGGTTGAAGGAAATAGGACAGATCTAGAGGGAACCTAAAAATCCGGGTTGATAGTGGGCATTGATTGATCAATGGTGGTTAATTTTATAGAAGAGTGTATGGGAATGATCTTATGAAAGACAAAGTGAAGGAATGAGTGAAATTTTGTATGCAAATCAGTTTTTTTAAGAAAAAAATACACACTAAAAAACAATGCCGCCATTTTGAGGGCTACAGTGCCCCTGATCCATGTGATAGTATTTTCAATGACCTCAGATGTATAAGCCAGGCAATGAATCAAGACCAAAGGAGGAATTGATGCACTTGAACTTCAGTGTTGTGAAAAGTATTTGCACTGCCATGAATCTTACATGTCCTTTCACCATGTAAACAGAAGGAACTAGTAGATCATGCTTGATAAAGCAGGTCAGAGAAAGACAAGCCTCCAGGAGATGGCTTGTCATAGGGGCTGCAACAGCAATGACTGTCACGGTGATGCAGGGCCAGACAGTGTCATTGTTTTACTTGGGGCTGTTATGACTTGGACAGGATATAATAAAAACCAGGCAGAGTCAAAAGCCTGAATTTGTGATCACTACTTTGTGATGCTTGTGTGTCAAAGACCTGAAATAGACTTTTCAAAGCTATAGTACATTTTCTCCCCTAATTTTGACAGGAGATTCAAAGTGCAGAGCAGATGAAAAAATGGAAAGAGAGGCTTAAGGAAAAGTACTATTCTGCAGAAATCGAAGATGACTACCAGCCTGTCACGCAACAAGAATTTCGAGAGTAAGTATTTGTTCTTCTCAGGGAATTACAAGGTATGGGGGGGGAGGGGGGGGGAGAATGGGTCACATCATTATTTTCCTGTATCTTATTTTACCTCAACTCCATTTTACTTTTTAAAAATTAAACACAAATACTCCTTTGACTAAATGTGAGGTGACAATGAGGCTAATTGATTCAGTCATACATTTGTAAGAAACTCATTTATTCTTGATAGGTATTAGCAGAGAATACCAGAAGAATGTCTATCTGTGTTTCATTGATTATGCAAAGGCATTTGTGTGCATCATAACAAACTGTGGCTGACTCTGAGAAGAATGGGAATCCCAGAACATTTAATTGTGCTAATACAAAACCTATACTTGGACCAAGAGGCAGTAGTCAGAACAGAGCAGGGTAACACTGCATGGTTCAAAATATGGGAGGGTGTACGCCAGGGATGTATCCTGTCTCCATACCTTTTCAACATGTATGCAGAGCAGATTATCCGAGAGGCTGGGCTCTATGAGGAGAATTGTGACTTCAGGATTGGTGGAAGATCTATTAACAATCTGTGTTATGCAGATGACACAACCCTGCTTGCCGAAACTGAGGAGGACCTCATGCACTTGCTGCAGAGGGTCAAGGACTGCAGCCTTCAATATGGACTGAGGCTCAATGTCAAGAAGACAAAGATTCTCACCACTGGACCAATTGGCAGCGTCAGGATGGATGACGAAGAGATTGAGATTGTTCACAGCTTCAGTTTGCTCGGCTCCACAGTCAACACCCTTGGCACCAGCAGTCAGGAAATCAAAAAGCGTATCGCGATGGAAAAGTCTGCTGTTAGGGACCTCTCTAAAGTACTCAGGAGCAACAGTGTCTCTCTGGAGACTAAGGTGCACCTGATACAGACCATGGTATTTGCAATCGCTTGTTATGCATCAGAGAGTTGGACAATGACCAGGGAGGACAGAAGGAGAGTGGATGCTTTTGAGCTGTGGTGCTGGAGAAGGGTACTGAATGTACCCTGGACTGCCAGGAAAACAAACAGATTTCTCTTAGAGAGGATTAAACCAAGCTACTCCTTGGAGGCAAGGATTCTGGGGCTTCGTCTGACATACTTTGGACATGTTGCCAGGAGGGACGGGTCCTTGGAGAGGGACATCATGCTTGGGAGGGTTGAGGGACAACGCAGGAGGGGAAGACCCTCTATGAGATGGATTGATTCGGTGACTGGGGGAACCGGGACGGGTGTGTCAGAGGCAGTGTGGTTGGCGCAGGATAGAGCAGGGTTTGGGGCTGTTGTGCATAGGGTCGCTATGAGTCGGAAACGACTCGACGACACATAACAACAATTACATATTACTTTATGTCTAGGGTACTAATTAGATCAATAAATGGCCATGTTTTGGAGCATGCTGTCGACAACTCATAATAACTCCATGAGTAACACTGAAACCCTGCCCAGTCCTAAGCCACCGTCATGATCTCTGCTATGCCCACTGTTGCAGTCACTGCCAGTCTACCTCACGGAGGGTCTTCTCTTTAGGTGACCCTCTACTTTTCTTAGCATGCTTTTTTTCCCCAAGGACTGGCACCTCTGGACAGCATGCCCAAAGTATATGAGATGACATTTCACCATCCTAGCTTCTGAGGAGCACCAGGATTACATTTCCTCCAAGACAAATTTTATCTTTGGAGAGTTAACTGCTGCTGCTGTTTGGTTGTTCCATCTGAATCAACACACAGCTGACCCTCCAGCAAGGAAATACATCAGATGCGGTATATCGCAGAGTTTGCTCAGCTTTCTCTTGTGGAGCAGTTGCTCGGTTCAAATGGTGTGCCTTTGGGTTAGCAGCGCAGCTCCCTACCACTAGCCCCAGTTTCCTTGGGCAGTCGTACTATACTCTTCACCAACTCAAAAGGCATCAGTTCTTCAGTCTTCCTAGTTCACTGCCTAACTTTCACATACCATGTCTTGAGTTAGCCACATAGGTCAATAATATTACATCATTGTTCTTTGGTCCTTGGAGAGGTCCTTGACAGCAGATTTCCCCAATGCGACACATCTCTTAATTTCTTGACTGCTACTATCATGGAGTTGAGTGGATCTAAGTAAAATGAAATCCGTGAAAATGTCAATCCTTACTCCATTTATCATGATTTATCCAATGGTGAAGATTTTTCGCCCCCTTGCTGTGTAAAGCTGTAAGCTTTGAACTTCTTCACTAAGTGTTTCAAGGCTTCTTTGCTTTCTGCAAGCAAGGTCATCATCTATATATCACAGGTTACTGATATGTCTCTTCTTCCAATCCTGATGCCACATTCTTCAAATAATCCAGATTCTCAAATTATTTGTTCAGCACACAGATTAAATAGATATGTGGAGAAAGGATACAACCCTTACACACCTTTCCTGATTTTACATCATGCAATGTTCCCTTTTCTGTTTAGATGACTGATTATTGGTCTATTCACAGGTTCCACATGAACAAAATTAAAGGTTCTGGAATTTCCATTTTCAGTGTTATCTACAATTTCTTTTGATCCATACAAATGCCTTTACATATAGTCAACAAAATAGAGGTAAACGCGTTTTCAGTATTCTGTGCTTGTGGCCAGAATCTGTCTAACTTAGCAATGATGACCCCCCCATTCCACAACCTCATCAGAATCCAGTTAGCATTCCTGGCAATTCCCAGTCAGTACACTGTTCTAGTAATTTTAAATAATCTTGAGCACTATTTTACTTTCACACAGCAGAATCTTACTTTGGCAAGGTTTTACTAGCCTTAATAATAACAACCATATTTTAGCTTTAATTTTCCTACTCAAGATATTTAACAATAAGTTTCAATATCCTACTCTCCCTATTTACACAAGAAAGTGTATTAGTGATTCATTTTCTTTTAAATTATCTTCTAGACTTTTTTTATATGCCATGGAACTGGAGAAGGAATTACACAATGTCAATTTAAAACTAAGCCAAATGATGAAAAAGCTTCCAACTGCACAAAACTGAAAGAAGTGGAGGTGAGAATCTATAATCACAGAACATTTTTTCCTAAAGAGAGATTAGTGTTATTTCCATCATCTTCCATATTCATCATCCTCATTTCACACATACTTTAAAGGCTTCACCACCTATCATCACACTATCCTCAAATTCTATGATAACTGTCAAATAAGTTCCCAGAACGAAGCACCTCTGAGTGGGACTAGAGGAACCCTGGTGATATAGGGGGTTAAGGACAGGCTGCAACTTGGAAAGCTGGCACTCACCACCCATTCTTTGGGAGAAAGACGAAGTGGTCTACTGCCAATGATTTACAACTTTAGGAAGTGGACAGGGCTGTGTGCAGGAGGGCTGCTATAACTCAGAACCAACTCACTGAGAGTGGGTTTAGTTTCATTTTCTGGAGTGGGACTCACCAAACAATCCCTGTATATGACAACATACTTCCAGAGCATGACCTCACTGACCCAGAAAGGATTCCACAATAAGACTCAGTTAAATTCTACGCTTATGAAGACAAAGTACAAACTAATGCTTCTTATAGTTTATGGGACAGTTCTCTCTTATTCAAATAAGATACAAGGTTTCTTCATAGTCACCCTATAGAAGAACTGCATTATTTGACTTTGAAAATAAGATGCCTAAGATTCTGGAAAACAATTAAATGCAGTCACAAAATAATACCACTTCCCAATTCTATCTCCTAAGAAAAGATCGAGACCAAGTATCAAACAGAGTCTTCCAACTAATGGCAGAAACTAGTATCTTCAAATTGGAAATTATTTATACAGTTTCTTAGTAGTATGTCTACAATTTCCCAAATGTGCGTCTTCATTTACTTTTTTTTCAAAAAAGATCTAGAATATCAGAGCATAGAAGTTATGTTTCAAAAGTGTAAGTAAGTGTATTACAAGTGTCCTGACTAGCAGAACAGTTGGCTTTGGAAACTGAAGGAAACTTATTATTTCTAGGCTACATAATACCTTCCTAGAGTAATCACAAGGAGGTCTGCTGGCCTAGTAGTAAGGAGTTATGCTGCCAACCCAAAGGCAGGCAGTTTGAATCCACCAGATGTTAACTGGAAGAAAGATGAGCCATCTCCTTCCATCCAATTTACAGCCTCAGACCCACTGGAAGGTCAGCTATGAGTCAGTTTTGACTCAATGGCACATAACAATAAACACAAGTTCTCTTAACGAACACATTGCTTGATCATAGCCCTTCTACATTCATGCTTTATAGGACCTAGCTTTGAAACTTAGAGGAATATCTTAATCACCACTTACCTTCAACAGGTCAATTTTGTCTTGGAGACTACAATCATATTTTCGTGAACAGATATTCACCACAATAAAAGATGCTAACTGTTCTCTAAGTCTCCCCCCTCCCCAACAGCAACAGGGTGACCAACAATATGGGTCTTCTCCTTGCCTTTCCACTCCACTCCCAAAAGCTGCTGTCAGTCCTCAAATGGTTTAAACTAATCCAGTTGGTTCCCTACCCATGGTTCTTGGTTCGGTAATTCAAACAAGGCCGAAGAACATTAAGGGTATTAAAGACACCATGTGTGTGGTTTGAAAAACAAAACACAACACCACAAAGGTGGGAAAACAAACATTTACAATGACTTAGAACATTAAAGATTAAGTTGTTTTATTATAAAAGTCTATACAACGAAGTGCCAGACACAGTAATGCAATTACATTGGTGGACATATATATCTATATATTTTTTGTATATAGATATTGTTTTGACTTGTACCCAAGTAAAATGATCACAATTGCCTAACTCTAGCACCTACTGCTCAGCTATGACACATACAGCACTGTCACACAGCACAAGTGCTGCCATGCCACTCCCACCTACTCTATTTAACAGCCAGACATTAACAAAGAATAACAAACATCATGAAGCAGCTGTTAATTTTAAAATGAAACCAGTCAGGCCACTGACTTATAAAAATATGGTACTCATATAGATTTAAGCATTATAAAGAAGGAATATATTATTTAAAACATTTAAATAGTGCATATGGACATTTTTGCATGTGGTATATAAAACACAAACATTCATATAAAACAATACAGTGCACATTAAATCTGATGTTTGGATACACTCCTGTCTGGAGACTGAAAGAAATAAACTGAAATGCACACCGTGTGATGGATTCAAATCAAAGTGATATCTCTTCTGTTGTTTTCAAGGTCTATAATATGAATAACCTAGCTTTATCAAAAGGAAATCATGCAAAAAGGGCTATATTTAGTGCTTGTTTGATTCTCCAACTACACATTCACTATCACTGGATTTTCCCCTCCCCCCAAAAAAGGCATTGCACACACAGGTGAAATGTTGAAGTACTAGAAATACTATTTATTACCAAGCTACTTCACGTGTTCACTACGTAATAGTGCCAGGAATCTGAGGTTCATGCTTTCCTCACTTTATTAAAGGATGCTGCAAATGTCTGGTTTTGTATGGAACAAACTGTAGTAGATATTAGCTAGTAAGAAAATCATGCAGGACTCACTGCATGCAAAATATGGCCACAGTCAAAAATGAGACACATCAATCCAAAAAAGCACCAAGGGGGAAAAAATTAACACTCAGATTAAGCCTGATCACAATCTGCTATTAATGACTGTTGAGAACTAAGCACAAAGAATGTCACTGTTCTGTGAAAATAATTAGCAAAATGATACTAGTAGAGTACCTAAAGCCATGCAAAGCCAACACAAAAAAGTATGCTTGAAGTACATGCCACGGGGCTCACCACTACACAACTCTAACAGGCTGCTTTAAACAGCACAAAATTGAGCAATAGAAGGTGTTTGGGTGGATTTTACTAATTAAAAGAAAAAATAACAATGTAACCCTCCCTAAAGGTACATGTAAAAAAATGAAGTGGTATTAGCCCTTGTTAAAAACAAATTTACTTTAGGCATAAGAATTATTTTGCCAATTTAGGCCCAGTTGATTGAACATACAAATCTGAGCACCAACAGACTTCCCACATACTGACATGGCTATTTTCTCACATTATCTGGAGGTGGGTGGGGGAACAACACAGATCTGATCCCGACAAATCACATCATAATCAGCTGATACACAGTAAAGGAACTGAGGAAACAAACAGTAACTTAAGTCCCATAGGCAGCATGTGGTATGATTCAGTTCTGTGTGTGATGTGTTATTTTCAATATACTAAGAAAGGTCACTTTTTGGTCTACCCATTGTTATCTTCATCCAGAAGCTGTGTGACCACTGAATTAGGAAATCTTGCTAACATACTACCTGTGAGAGAGTGTCATCTTAGGAATTGAACAGAAAAGTGATCCCATAGGAGGACTTGAAATTTCAGTCTGATTTGGTTTTCTAGGAAAAGATAGAACACAGTTGCATATTTGCACTTTTATAGGCTTTTCTTTCAAATTTTCAGTCATTCTGTAAGAAAAAGGCAACCGAAGAATTCAGTGTGGTGTGAAGATTTTCCTCTCAAATTTCTTCAGTAATGAAAAAAATAATAAAGTTGTTAATAACAAAAAACTTGTATTTCCAAAGTTCTTGAGTTGAAAGGACAGAATTCTAGTCTTTTGGGGAAAGCATGTATCTGTAGTACAAAACAATGAAGGAAACTGCATTTACTAAAGGTGAAGAGGAGAGTCTGTGGTCAATATGGAACATCACTGACGCTCCCTCTAGAGGGCCTACTGACCCTCCCAGCATTCTTTAGTGGCACCATAACCAAGTACAAAATGAAATTCTCTGAGTGCCTGACAAAATGAAATCAAGTATCAGCCAAGAATACACGGTGGTAGCTTCAGGAATACAAATGATTTTAGGATGCTTTATATGGATTTTGAAGAATCTTGTTTGCTGATAAGAACCTCAAGAAGCCTAAGTTTGGCTTTGATTTTCTTGTACTCTTTGTACTCCTCAAGCACAGGAACACGATCCTCTTTTTGGGCATTCCTAAGAGAAAACAGAAAATCTTTAATATTCTAGAGATTATCTGGAAAATAGAGACCCACAAGTTGTCCAATATAAGTTACCAAATTTTAAGTTTGAAAGTTATCAAAAAGCCACCCTGCAAACAAAAAGATCAGGATTCACTAATCCAGGCATTACAGTGTTGGGATGTTAGAGTAAGAGGAACTGAAAGAAAAAAAAAGATTACTGACTTACTAGCCCATCTCCAAGGAATGTTTCTGATGGCTCCCTATATACAAGATAGAGATTAAATGGGCTTATACTCTATCAATCACCAAGGTAGTTAACCAGAAGTAAACAAAATATTTTAATAAGACAGCCATTACTGGACCCTGCCAGGTCTGTCAGTGAGTATTAAATCTATACATCTATACTAGATCATTTCAGACAGCTAATTGCAACTTCAATTAACTGATACATAAAACATTTTATTCTAACGAAGTTTTCTCAATTATGACCCAAGGCAAGCCAATTTAATTACTGCGTGAATTCATTCTAACTATAAATATGAGCAAAATTTTCTTCCAAAAAACAAAGTATTTGGAAAATGCATTCCTCATCTCGAGATTTTCTTAAACATGTATGTCAGTCTATTTTAAGGAAACACATTTGGGAATCTGCAGTACAGTTATTGACTTAATAAAATGACCCAAGTTAAGAAAAACACTCTGAGCCCTGAGTTCATGTAACTCTTATTCCTGGCTATCATTTGAACCAGAATGAACTTTTTTATTAGAAGAGCCAAGCATTTAATATAGCCAAAAGGTGAGAAGAGTCCAAAGGTCCATCAATAGAAGAATGAATAAACAAAATGTGATACTGGAAATACATCCAGTTGTTGTTAGGGGTCACTAAGTCAACTGCAAATCATAGCAACTCTATGTAAACAACAGATCTAAACCTCGCCCTATCCTGCACCACCCGGGTAAGCTCTGCTATATCGAGCCCTCAGTCAGTCCATCTTCATAAGGGCCTACATATATGGAATAATATTTAAAGTGAATAATGGATTATTCAGTTATAAAGTGAAATGAGGTCCTGATACATGTTAAGCCATGAACCTTCAAAACAGGCTAACTGAAAGAAATAAAATATAAAAAGGCAAATATATGATCCCACTTAAATAAAATATCTAAATGAGGCAAATGCACAGAGATAAAAGTTCATCAGTGGTTATCTAGTGCAGATGGAAGGAGGAAAAGGGAAGTTAATGCTTAAAAAGGTGCTGTGATTCTGTTAAAGATGATAAAAAAAATTTAGAAAAGTATGTGGTGATGGAAACCTGGTGAATGCAATTCATAGTGCTAAGTTGAACACAGAAAAATTGTTATAATGGTAAATGGTTTTTATGTATATATACCACAATAAAATATTTATTAGTGATTACAAAGGGCTGAGGTGAGGAAGTAGTTAAGTTATGTAAGAAGTACTGAGTTTCCCTTTGGGGTGCAAGAAAAACTTCTGGAAATGGAGTGATGGTAACTGTAACTTACAACATGGTAAATGGGAGTAAACAGACTGTAAACGTAATAAATATTAAAATCAAATGTTTCATTTTATGTATTTTGGTGCCAGGACAAAACCAGAATGCAGCTGGGTCACATACTAGACAAAAAGCCAGGCCACGTAATAATACAGAGGTCACATGGCTACCACATTGTTTCTCTCTCATTCATTACAATCCAGCCTGTAAACTGCATGGGAAGAGACTGCTCATCGTCCTCCTATGGAGCTGCAGCCACCTAGGGACACTAACACCAGAGCCTCCTATACTGTTAATCACCTTGGAAATGGTAAGCCTGGAATCTCAAAAAGCTAAGCCGAAGGATCTCAGTATAACAAGTGAGAATTCAAAGTAGCTGAAGACAGCATTTCTACTACAGGACTTTTTCTAAAGAGGTCCAATAACCTCATAGTTTTATAATCTCCCTATAGGAATGATGGAGCATTGTGTGTATTGTAATTGATTTTATGAAATAAAACATGCATGAAGGATTGATGGGGGGGGACTCTACATATGCTCTGTAAACTTTCATTAAAACCTAACTGTAAGAATTAAAGAGTAAATATGTAAAATTTTAAAAATATACAAGTACTGCCATTCAATTAGGCTTGAGTTGAAACATAGCTAACCCTCCAGCAGATTTTCAGAGGCTGTAAACTGCACAGGGGAATATAGAAGCTCAATTCAGATGAGGCCCATGGCATCTGAAATTTGAACAATGAGTAAGGATGACAGAAGAATCAATGACTCTCAGTTGTGGTGCTGGAGACTACTATATATCCCATGAACTGCCAAGAGAAAAATAGGTCTGTCTGGAAGAAAAGTGAAACCAGGGTGCTCCTTGGAAGCAAGGCTGGTAACACTCAGCCTCACATACTCTGGGCACCTTGTCAGGACCTGTCCACCATGCTTAGAAGGGGGGACGGTCAGCAGAAGAGAAAAAAGACTCTCAATAAGACAAGCTGACTCTGTGTCTGTAATTAGGACATTCAAGTGTGTTGGAGCTGGTGAGGACAGCAGAGGACAGGGCAGGTTTCAGAACCATTGTTCACAAAGTTGCTATGAGTCATACTTAATTCAGTGGCACATACTACCACCACCAGCACTGAAATATGTCTACTTCGGCTCTGATTTATCCTTGCCATTAATAACAGGACTTCAGAGGCACAGGATTTTTTTTTTTAAAATGTACATTTTCAGAGCTAAACATCCTTATAGGCATAATTGCCAAATCCTTTATGTTTACCATTATGAGCACTTGTAAATTAAGGAAGAATGACAATTCAATTTTGTGATACCCAACAAACCTTCCATTTTGTTTATAAAATGCTTCTTCAAATTCTCGTAATGTTTTACGTAGTTTCTTTTTCTCAGCTCTGGCTTTCCAAAGTTGCTCTAATAATTCAGGCCTAAAAATAAAAGGAGAGGAAAACACTTAAATGGGACTACTGGCTCTTTATGTTCTAGCTGCATTTTAAAATCAGGTGGAGAGTAGCCTTAAGAACATACTACACCCATGCTCCACCAGAGACTAATGAAATCCCAAGAAAGTAGAACACAAAATCAATACCTTACAAAAAACTGTATAGTGCAGCCAGAATTACGAATTAATGTCATACAACAAGCTGACAGAGCAAATCAGCAGATTAATGTTCAGTTTGTTCCTGTACTCTGTCAAACATTAAATGCAAGATTTTCATTTTTAAAAGTAATAATTATAAAGGAAATAACAGTTATCTGTTGTCACACTATTAAAAAACACTTTTTTAAAAGATGTGATCCCTTCATCACTGTGTTAATTTCCTTTGTTGTTGTTTGCTGTTGAGTTGGAATCAACAAATAGCTGGCCCTCCTGAGGTTTTCAGAGTCAGTAAATCACACGGGAGGAACGTGGCCACCCTTCTCCTGCAGAGCAGCTGGTGTATTTGAACTCCTCTGGGTTAGTTTTAATTATTTGATAGATCTATTGTTGTAATAAGCTATACACTATATAAAATATAATTAATTCTATTCTAAAAATAAAATTACAAGCCATCATACTTACATAGAAGCTGCTCGAGAACTTGACAATCGAAGATCCAGAACCAGTTTTTCTTGATTTTCTTCAACATCAGATTCTGAATTTTCCAACGAACTTGAAAAAGACTGTGCCTGTACAGCAGTTTTCAAGATATCACTTAGCTCAGATGACAGACTAACACCGTCTTCTTCTTCTTCCTAAAAGTATATCCACATACAAAAATCAAATAGGCCGTGACTTTCAACCTTTCCCCTGAAACAAGATCAGAGAATGGGTTCTCTTCAATGATTACCACCTTGATTTCTTCAAAGAAATGTGCAGTTTCTCCTTCTATGATTGGCTGTAACATCTGCCCCCTTCGCTTGCTGGATGGAGATCCCTGTAATCAACAACAAACAAATGGTTTACACTGTAAATATTTCAAATTCTCAGAAATCATTACTGTTTTCCATTCTCCCTGTACTGTAGTGGATTGCTGTGATGGCATAATCTACAGGGAGTTGCGCCACTGCCTCAAAGGCAGCACCCTTTTAGCTGTTCTAATAAACAGCCCACTCCACAGGAGACAAACAGGCAGTCTCTTCTCATGCAAAATACAACCTCAGAAAAATGCAAGAGAAAGGACTATTTCTAAGGTCTTCTTTAGCCACTGGCTTTGTGACTTTCAACACATTGCTGGGTTGTTGCTGTTAAGTGCCATCGAGTACAACTCTTAGTGACCTTACGAACAACAAACCTAAACCATGTCTAATCCTGTGCCATTCTCATCACCTCTGATATACTTGAGCTCTTTGCTGCAGTTACTGGGTCAATCCATGTCACTGCAGGTCTTCCTCTTTTGCTGACCTTCCGCATGATGGCTCTTTCCAATGAATAGCTTCTTTTAGCAACATGTTCAAAATATGTGAGTTGAGTTTTGCCATCCTTGCCTCTATGGAGCACTCTAGCTGCACCTTCTCCAATATCTGTTTTCCTTTTTGGCAATTTAGTATTCTTCTCAATACTACAACGCAAAGGCATCAATTATTTCTATCACCTTATTCATTGTTCAGTTCTCAGACACATAGTTAAGTGACTGGAAAGATCATGACTTGAATCAGGTGCGCCTTAATTTAGTCCTCAAATACCATTGCTCCAGAATCGTTTGTAGAGATTCCTGACAGCAGATTTTCAAGCTTCAAGTCTTCCTTACTTTCAGTGTGCAAGTTGTATCATCTGTATAATGCAGGTTGTTAATAAGTCTTCCTATCTCGATGCCACATTGTTCTGCAGAGTCCAGCCTCCCAAATGATTTGCTCATGAAACAGACTGAATAAGTTACAAGAAAGGATACAGCCCTGACACACATCTTTCTGGATTTTAAACCATGCAGAATTCCCTTAACCTATCTGGACAGCAGCTTCTTGGTCTAGTGTAGGTTTTTTATGAGCATAATTAAGTGTTCTGGGATTTCCATACTTCTCAATGTCAGACAGTTTGCTATGATTCTGGTAGTCTCTGCTTTCTGCTAAGATCCATCTAACATCAGCAATGGTGCCATGGCCTCTTGTAAATATAACCTGAACTTCTGGCAGTTCTCCGCTAATGTGCTGATCTAGCTGTTTTTTAGATGAAGTTCAGCAATATTTTGCTTGCATGTGATATTAATGATATTGTTTGATAATTTCCACTCTCTGTTGGATCACCTTGTTTGAAAATAAGAACAAATATGGATCTCTTCCAGTCTGTTGGCCAGGCAGCTGTCTACCATACCATATTTGTTCGCAGAGATTGGTGAGCATGTCCAGGGCTGCCTCTGTTAATTGACTAAACATGAAATCAAGCTACATTAGTAATAACTGGTGACTGGAATGCAAAAGTTGGTTGGGTAAGACCATGTAAATATGAGGTTCCCTGTGGTCCACGAAAGGGATTAGACTGTCAATAATGAAAATAAAGTAAATGGCACTTTTGGGGTGGGGAAATGCAAATAAATTTTGCAGAATGCTAATGTAGGGATTGGTCACTTTTGCCATCCAAGTTTAAACTGAGTAGACTCAGAGGCAAATACAGGGTCCTCCAAACCACTGAGAAAGAACCCAAAATATCTATGCACACCAGAGGAGAACGTGACACCAGAGGGAGAGTATGGGACCAATGGAACAAAGCCAAGAGACAGTAGCAGATGTAGTAGCAGAAGCAAAGATGGTGGAGAACTACAGACCGGGGTCAGAGTTGTACACTAAAAAGGTGTGCACTTGTTGGCAAAAAGGGTGCCTGTGAGCACAGAATGGCAGAGTTAGAGCTGCTGAACCAAGGAGCTGGACCAAGGCAGAGTGAAGATGGTATATAACTAGCAGAACTAAGACAATTTGGAGAACTAATATGCAGCCGTGGATGCAAGGAGATTTGGAGGATAGCTGCCTCATTAAAAGATTGGAAGAAACCTGAATTTGTTCTAATTCCCAAGAAAGGTGATCCCACACAAAGAGGAAATTATCGAACAACATTATTATTATTATTATCACATATAAGCAAAATACTGCTGAAGATCATTCAAAAACAGCTAGAACAGTACATAGATAAAGAACTGCAGAAGTTCAAGCAGGATTCGGAAGAGGCTGTGGTACCAGGGAGATCACTGGTGATGTCAGATGGATCCTGGCTGTAAGTAAAGAATACCAGAAGAATGTCTATGTAAGTAAAGAATATCAGATGAATGTCTATTTATGCTTTATTGACTATGCAAAGGCATTTGACTATGTGGATCATAACAAGTTATGGCTAACATTAGGAGTCCCAGAGCATTTAACTGTGCTCATGCAAAACCTATACCTAGATCACGAGGTTGTTGTGTAAACTTGAGCAAGGGAATACTACATGGTTTAAAATTAAGAAGAGTGTGTTCGGGTTGCATTCTCTCTCCATACGTACTCATCAGTACACTGAGCAAATTATTCGAGAAGCTGAACTCTATGAAGAAGAATGCAGCATCAAGTCTGGAGGAAGATTCATCAATAACCTGCATTATGCAGATGAACCTTACTTGATGAAAGTGAGGAGGACCTGAAGCACTTGTTACAGGATTTCACAGAATACAGCCTTCAATAAGGATTGCATCTGAACACCAAGAGAATGGTAATTCTTACCACTGGGCCGCTAGCTCACATCATGATAGATGGAGAAAAGAGTGGAACTATCAACACCATCATCTGGATCCACAATCAACAGCCATGATACCAGTAGTCAAGGGATCAGAAAATGTACTACACTGATCAATCTGCAGTCAGGGTCCTCTTCAAATTATTGAATAAGGCTTTTTAAATTTCTAAATGGTAAGCTTTATTTATTTTATTTTTTTAATTGGAGCTTTTTATCAGCAGCTCTCAACTTTTCTGACCCTACGAGTTGAAGAAAGTGAAACTTCATCTCACATTGGAAAGACCTTGGAAAAGGGCATCATCCTTGGAAGGGGACAGGGTCAGTTAAGTAGGGGAAGACCCCTGAGAAGATGAACTAATACAGGCACTTATGGGCTGGAGCATGTCAGAGATGGGCAGGACGGCACAGGACAGAGCAGGTTCAGATGCACTGTTCAAAGGGTCTAGAAGTCGCAGCTGATTAGGCTGCCAACAACTCACCTTTTTGGTCTCTGGAACTCCTTTATCCTTTCTAAAACAATTACAGTTTTATTGGCATAATTTGTATACCATAAAATTCACTTGTCTGAAGTATATATTTCAGTGGTTTTTAGTATATTCACCAGTGAATGCAACCATCACCAATATCTAATTCCATATAATTTTCATTACCACAAAGAAACACCAATGTACATTCTCCCTATTTGTCTGTTTTGTCTAAACCTAGGTAAATTATTATGTGTCATCAAATCGGAACAGATACATAGCTGACCTTCCAGTGCATTTTCAGAGGCTGTCAATCACAGAGGAGCAGAATGCAATTTTTTTCTCCCACAGAACAGATGGTGAATTTGAACCACCTGCGTCTGGACTGGCAACATGACAAATCATATATCATATGATAGGTAGGATATGTGTCTGGTTTCTATCACTCAGCGTGTTTTCAGAGTTCACTCATGTTGTAGCATTTATGAGTCATGTAATTTTTTTTTCATTCTACATTATTCAGATGATGCAAATGTGCTTGCTGAAGTGAAGAGGTCTTGCTACTTGCTGCAGAAGATCAAATCCCTCCAATATGGATTACATCTCAAGATCAAGAAAACAAAATTCCTCACCACTGGACCAATAGTCAGTATCATGATGGATGGAGAAAAGACTGAAGTTGTTGATGACTTCATCCTCCTTGGAGTCACAATCAGCACCACTGGGGCAGCAGTAAAAAAAAATCAAAAGACCTGGGAATGGACTGCCAGCCTGGCCACAGCACGCCAGCCAGACATCTGTAACCTCACCAAAGTACTCACACGTGACGACCCAAGCCAGGGCCACTGGTGCAAAGCCGTACAGCTGCAACCTAAGTGAGGTCCCTGCGAAGCCCCACAAGGGCAGGTAGCCCCACCAGGCATGAGAAGGACAGGTGCAAACTGAGTGAGGCCCTTGCGTGTGTCCACCCTGAAACTAGCCCTGCCAGGCATCAGCAAGACATCTGCAACCTGAGTGAAGTCCCATGTATCCCCACCCGGGCAGGAAGCTCTGCCAGGCGTGACAGAGACATCTGCAAACTGGGTGAATTCGCTGAATGGGCCCACCCAGGAAGGTAGCATCCCCCACATCCCTGGGCCAGGTACGAGCAGGACAGGTGCAGCCTGAGTGAAGCCCTCGTGTGTGGCATCTTAGCACACGCCCACGTGGCATACACTGGTGCTTGTGCCTGTCCTGCTGGCTCACCCCCCCACCCCCAGCCTAGCATCTCCACACGTCCAGTCATCTATCTGCCTTTAATCCGGATCACCTTGGTCTGACTTAACTGTAACAATTACCCAACAGAAGAGGCCACTTTCACAAGCTGTGAACGAATACTTCCCCTGGTCCAGAAGTTCAGAGAGGAACACAGACAACAAAACTACCACACCCTCTTCTGTAGCAATGACTTTAGATAAAGAACCTATCATCATCTTAGGCATGAAAAACTCTACCACAGCATCATCATGAAGAATCAGGCCCCCTCACAAGCTACAAAAGCACAAAGCAAGATGTCACCCCCAAAAAGTGACACAGTATCAATGGATTTCCTGAAGCCAAAAAGTCTGATAAAACTTTCTGACACAGAATTCAAAAGAAAAATGACTGAATATTTTCAATGGGTTAAAGACAAACTTGAAGAATTACATGACACTGCAAGCAAAAACCAGGAGGATTTTAAAAAACAATCCAAAACAAAGCAGATAAAACAAACGAGGCATTAAGGCTCTGGAAAAAAAATAAGAAATCATGACCCAAAACATGAAGTCCAATGTTTCAGATGCTGTCAACATGATGGAGGGACACATGAACAGAAGTGAAGAGAAGGAACACAGAATCAGTGAAACAGAAGATAGAATTATCACCACTGATCTGCTAGAGCAAAAAGCAAAATCAAAAAGGAGGGAAAAAGAAAAAAACCTAAGAATAATGTGGGACACCATCAAGAGAAATAAATAACATGTGCATCACTGAAATCCTGGAACGGGAAGAAGCAAGTAAAGTCATTGAAAAAATTGTGGAAGAATTACTAGAAGAAAACTTCCCAGACATAATGAAGAATGAGAGAATATATATTCAAGAAGCTGAGAAAACACCACATAGAATAGACCCCAAAAGAAAAACACCAAGGCGTATCAGTCAAATTTGCCAGAACCAAAGATAAGGAGAGAATTCTGAAAGCAGGAGGAAGAAACAAAGAGTAACCTATAAGAGAGAGCAGATAAGACTAGGTGTCAATTTCTCAGCAAAAACCATGCAAGCAAGAAGACAGTGGAGTGACATAGAACGAGCACTCAATACAACTATCAACCAAGAATATTGCACCCAGCAAAACTGTCGATCAAATATGAAAGAGAGATCAAGATATTCCCAGAAAAACAAAACCTAAAAGAGTTGGTAAAAACAAGACCAGAGTTGCAGGGAGCACTGAGAGACATCCTTCTTACAGAGGTGCCACAGAAAGCAGGATGGACTAAAGTAACTAGCAACAACACTAAAAAGTACTCAACAAAATGAAAGCAATAAAACCTCTCAATAATCATACTAATTGTGCCTCTCAATAATCACACTGAATGTGAATGGTTTAAATGAACCACTGTCACACTAAATGTGACTGGTTTAAATGAACCACTGAAGAGAAAGAGTAGCAGATTGGATACATAAAACAAAATCCATCAATGTGGTGTCTACAAGAGACATATCTGAAAAGTGAAGATAAAGAAAGACGAAAAATAAAAGGGTGGGGGAAAATATATGAAGCAAATGGCAACCAGAAAAAAGCAGGAGTAGTGATATTAGTCTCTGATAAAATAAATTTCAATGAAAAAACCATCACAAAGACAAGGAAGGACACTATGTAATGCTTAAAGGGTTGAAAGAACATGAGGACATAACAACTGGCAGACACAGAAGAATATAGTGAAACAACATATAAGCAAGAGGCTGTGGTGATGAAGGAAGAAGTACAGACTGCTTTGAAGGAAAGAGCAAAAAATAAGTCTCCAGGAATGGATGGTATACCAATTGACATATTTCAGCTTATAGATGCTGCCCTGGATGTGCTCACCAAGTTGTGCCAAGAAATCTGGAGAACAGCCACTTGGCCAACTGACTGGAAGAGATGTATATTTGTTCCTATTCCAAAGAAGGGTGACCCAACAGTGTGGAAACTATAGAACAATATCATTGATATCACATGCAAGCAAGATTCTACTGAAGATTATCCAAAAACGACTGGAATAGTACATCAGCAGAGAACTGCCAGGCTAGGATTAGAAGGGGTCATGGTACTAGGGATATTGTAGCTAATGTTAGATGGATCTTAGCTAAAAGCAGGGAATACCAGAGGAATATATATCTGTGTTTCATCGATTATGCAAAGGCGTCTGACTGTGTGGATCATAACAAACTGTGGCAGACTCTCAGAAGAATGGGAATCTCAGAACACTTGATCTTGCTAATGAGACACTTCTACTTGGACCAAGAGGCAGTCGTCAGAACAGAGCAAGGAAACACTGCATCGTTCAAAATTGGGAAGGGCATACGCCAGGGATGTGTCCTGTCTCCATACCTTTTCAACCTGTATGCAGAACAGATTATCTGGGAGTCTGAGCTCTATGAGGAGAAATGTGGCATCAGGATTTGTCGAAGATCTATCAACAATCTGCGATATGCAGATGACACAACCCTGCCTGCTGAAACTGAGGAGGACCTGAAGCACATGCTGCAGAGGGTCAAGAACTGCAGCCTTCAATATGGATTGAGACTCAGTATCAAGAAGACAAAGATTCTCACCACTGGACCAACTGGCAGCATCAGGATGGATAGTGAAGAGACTGAGATTGTTCACAGCTTTAGTTTGCTTGGCTCCACAGTCAACATTCTTGGCACCAGCAGCCAGGAAATTAACACGTTTCCGCACACTTTTAAATTGACGACCATGCTTAGAAACACATTTTTCCCCCTGTGATGTATTACTGTCATTTGTAGCAACATGTTAAAAGACATACTGTGATGGGAACGTCTGCTGTTAGGGACCTCTCCAAAGTACTGAAAAACAATGGTGTCACTCTGGAGACTAAGGTGTGTCTGATACAGGCCATGGTCTTTGCAATCACTTATTATGCATCAGAGAGTTAGACAATGACTAGGGAGGATAGAAAGAGAATTGATGCCTTTGAACTGTGGTGCTGGAGTATTGAGGGTACCACGGACTGCTAAGAAAACAAACAGATTCACCCTAGAGAGGGTTAAACCAGGCTGCTCCTTGGAGGCAAGGATTCTGAGGCTTTGTCTGACATACTTTGGACATGTTGTAAGGAGAGGGATATCATGCTTAGGAGGGTGGAGGGACAGCGCCAGAGGGGAAGGCCCTCCATGAGGTGGATTGATTCAGTGACTGGGGTAATCAGGATGGGTGTATCGGAGACAGTGAGATTGGTACAGGACAGAGCAGAGTTTAGGGCTGTTGTACATAGGGTTGTTATGAGTCATAAGCAACTCGACGGCACATAACAACAACATGCACCAAAAGATAGACCTGCAAAATATATAAAACTGAAAAACAGAAAACACTACTATAGTAGTTGAAGACTTCAATACACCACTCTCAAGAAAAGACAGAACTACCAGAAATAAACTCAACAGAGATGCTGAAGAATTATACCACACAATAAACCAACTCGATCTCACAGATATTTATAGTCTAATGCACCCCCCAAAAGCACAGCATACCTTCTTCTCCAATGTACATGGAACTTTCTCCAGAATAGATCACATATGGGCAGCATATGCCCAAAGTACACACTACAATTTACTTACCCACTTACTAGTCAAGGGACATGTATTTCTGATATCTATCTATCTATCTATCTATCTATCTATCTATCTATCTATCTATCTATCTATATCTTGCAGTCAGTTGGCCAAGTGGTTGTTCTCCAGCAGAGGGTCAAGGACTGCAGCCTCCAATACGGATTGAGGCTCAATGTCAAGAAGAAAAGATTCTCACCACTGGGCCAATTGGCAACATCAGAATGGATGGTAAAGAGATTGAGACTGTTCACAGCTTTAGTCGGCTTGGCTCCACAGTCAACACTCTCGGCACCAGCAGCCAGGAAATTAAAAGACGTATTGCGATGAATATATATATGAATGAATATATATGTACTGAATAATGCTGCAATAAAGAATCATGTGCCAGTTTTTAATGAACATAGTAAATCTCTTGGGCATATATTTAGGATTGGTGGTCATATGGTAATCTCTATGTTTTACCTTTTGAAGGAATTCTAAATTATTTTTTCAAAGAGTCAGTACCACTTTGCAAGAGAGCTCAAATTTCTACTTAAAATGGATGGTAATATTTAGGCATGCACACAAAAGCTTTCTATAGAGAGATTCTGTTTTCAAAGACAAAGCTGTTGGGGTCTAAAATGATTTTCCAAAAGAACTTCAACGACTATTTACATTATAAAATTATGAATTATGAAAATACTAAATGATGCATATTCTTCAAAATCCAAAGGATGACATTTATATGAAATAAACTGCATTGTGGGAGAAAAATACTATATAGGGTTCCTTTCAAAGAAAACTGGTTCGATCTATTCAAAATTCACTGAAACAGCCAACTCTAGGGCCTAGGAGCTATATGAAGCTTTTTAAAATTTCTGATTTGTCCTTTGAAAGCAAAAGTATCAGTTTATGTTCTTATGCAATTAAATAAACATCATGATGACCATTACAAAACTGATGAATTTTTAAAGGCAAGAATTAAGGAAAAATAAGCCAGGAAGTCTGAAACAGTGAGCTTTAAAATTCTGCTTCTAGAGGAGCTCTGGTGGCCTAGTGGCAAGAAGCTGCAACCACAATTCCAGAGGTGCACGGTTCGAATCCACCAGATGCTCTGCCGGGAAGGAGGGGCAATCTCCTCCTGTACCAGTCAGATCTGATTTGACGGTACACGCACACAAAAATAATAAAAATAAAATTAAAAAAAAAAAAATTCTGCTTCTGTCACATACAAACATGCAAAGTGCCTTTTAGGTCACTCATGTGAACCACTATTTCATTACCTCTAATATGAAATTATAAGTTTCTGGATTTAATGATAAAATTATATAGAAAAAGGCTTATAGTGATGACTGGGAGATAGTAGCCACCTTCTTTTAAGGTTTGTAGTGTTACACATATCATCTTTTCTATCTTGACTATGTAGTCCTCTAACATACCAATATACTACCCCCTCCCCAAACAGTACTTTCTGGTAAAAAGATCTATCTCCATACATTTGTTCACTTACAAGGATAGGAGTGATGCTAGCTCTCGTCAGCATTTGTTTGACAAGTCTGTATCTATCATAGAGAGGCTTGACAATGTGCCTTTCTTCCCTAGTGACCTATAACAAGAAAAAAAGATACCAATTAGTCACTAGAAATCTAAAATGTCAAAGTCATGAAGTTATATGACTTTCCCTCCAATATATAAAATTTACATAAGGAGGCATCTCCCAAGGGTAGAAAATAATACTCTATAAAATATCTGTGAAGAACAGCACTTCATATTTGTTTTTTACAACAACAATTCACATTTTTAGAAAGATACATTACCGGCCTTCCATGTTGACTTTCATAATATAGAAGACTTTTCTGGAGGGAAGTTTTCTCTTCTACCAAATGGTCTTTTGTCATTTTCTGAAATTAAAAACAAAAGCAACACTCATTGGAGTAATTATTATTATCATCCTTATTCTCACAATATCAACCATCATAATGGTCAAAAGCATCCTGTGCTTATGATTTGCATGCAATTTCCAGTGTCCTGTAGAATCTATTCTATCATGTAGGAAAACCAACCCACTCTGGTGGCTGGATTTGTATTTTATCTAAATAAATTAGGAATATTGGTTTTGTGACTTTGAATAATTAACCTCTTTGTGTTCAATATCTTAATCTGTAAAGTGGGGATATTACATCCTATCTCATAGGGCAATGATGACAATTAATGAGTTCACAAATGCAAAGAATTTAAATCTCTGCCGAGCACAAAGTAAGCACACATAAATGCTTATTATTTATTTAATGTTGTACAGTCTTTTATTAACACCAAGACTAATGGACATTCACATACAAACAAAACAAATGCATATAAACCACTTATTTTTCTAAATTGACATTTCACTATTGTTTCTAAGAAAACCTTGCAGCAGTAGAGTGAAAAGAGAGCGGAGGAAGGTTGTCCCAAACTCATTTGCTATGAATAGAATACCCCTACTTTATTCCATAGGATCACCTATTAACCATCTCAGTAATCCAATGTTCCACAGACTAGTCTATAACACTAATCCAAATAAATTCTTTTCTTAGTCCCAGGGCCTCACGTAAGTTCCAACTTAGTCCCACCTGTCTCTCAACAGAGAAATTTTTATTGTTGTTAGTTACCACTGAGTATAACTCACAGCAATCCTATGAAGAATTCTGAACCCTGTCCTATCTCATGCCATCCTCACAATCTCTGACGCATTTGAGTCTATTGCTACAGTCACTGTGTCAATCCACCTGGTTCAGAATCTTTCTCTCTTTGCCAGCCCCTCCGCCTTCCCAAGCATGATGTCCCTTTCCAATGCATAGCCTCTCCTACCAACATGGCCAAAATGTGAGAAAATTAGGAGCTAATTAGGAAACTTAGAGCTCTGCTGGCCACTGGCAAGAGGCAGTGCTGCAATCCCGAAGGTATGCATTTTGAGGCCACCAGCTGCTCCATGAAAGAAGGATGGGCGAGACTGCAAATTAATTGTCTCTGAAAACCCACTGGAGGTTCAACTATGGGTTGGTTCTGACTTGATGATACACAATTATCAGGAAATGAGGAGCAAAAAAATTAAATTCACTGGATATCTTTCTATAACAAACATCACTTTAGTAGATATTCAGCAGAAAGCAGCTGAGTATAATCTCAAGCTTAAAACTTTAACTTTCAATAAAGAATTTAACAGTTAATCCAATCAAAATTTATAGGAGAAATAAGACTGTAGAAAAAGATTAGAAAAAAGGAATTGCTAAAATAAAACCAAACCAAGTATAAGACTAGGTACCATTTCAACTCTGTCCAAAGGATAGAAAGGCTTCATTAAGAAGATAGTGATAATTCTGATATCAAAATAGGCACGTACATCAGGTCTCATCATATCTGGGCAAAACTTAACCTGAGACTATCTACTTTGCTTTGAAAGCACATTTCATGTGATAAATTATTTAGGTTGCCAAGTGCTTTGACCACAAGTTTAGGAGGCATATGCTTTACTGGATAATGAAATAGTTATGTTGCAGGGTTATTCTACAGACTACTCAGAGAAAAATCAAAGTTCAAGATTACTTTGATATCTTCTGGAAGACACCTCTCAACACGTTTTTCTTTCAGTCTTTTCAGAATAAGTTCAAGTGTTGCCTCCTTAGATGGCTTCTTCTCTTTCTGGACGACCCTAGAGTCATCTTCATTTTCTTCATCTTCATTATCAAGTGAAGAGCCAAAGCTTTTTGGAAGAGTGTTACTACGTGGACGTGTCTGAGGTACAAATTCTCCATCAGAGCTTTTATGTTTTGCATCTACATTTCAAAATCAAGAAAATAAGTCTATAATTGTGATTTTAGTTAAAATGTGATTAAGCTAAATGACAACACAAAACTATACAGTAACAGTACACAGCCTTGCTATATAACTTTCGAAGTTATTTAAACTACATAGGTTGCAAGGGAGTTACAACTATTCATTCTTTCAGCTGATATTCAACACTATTCATTCTTTCAGCTGATAGTCACAGAAAGCCAACTCCAAGTAAAATGTAGAAAGTAAAATATTCTTCTCCATATTACAGATAAAAAAGTAAATTAAAACAGACATCTTCTGAGAAGAAAAACCAATCTAATCAACTTAATAAAATAATTTCAAAGACTGAGAAGTGTGTTAAAGCTAAAATAGAATAATGTCAGATTGCTGAAAGGGGTGTATTTTGTGGAAAAGCAACTACAATGTACAGGAAAGGGAGAAAAGGATTTTCTAAGATGATGATATTGAAGTAAATAAGAAATACTAAGGAGCAAACCTACTAGCACAGAAAATCTGAGGGAAGAATATTTAAAAAAAAAGGAGGGCGGGGGAAGAGTATTTCTCTCCAACTGAGACAACAGCCTAGGTAAAGGTTCTAAGACTTGCTGTGTTTAAGGCATAAAAACAGAAAGGAAAGTGATATAAAATGTATGAAGAGTCAGTGTGCAAAATCTTAAAGACCACATACCATATAAAAAGCTCAAACTTTATCTTAAGTGGAATTTGAAGCCCACTGAAGCAACATGTGGTAAAAAAAACAACTCTGACTGCTATGCATAATAGATGACAGGATAGAGTAAAAGAAAACTGAGAAATTAGGAGACTAACACTAGTCAATTTAATACTGCCAAAGTAATCCATTTAAATAATGGATGTATACTAACAGTATACAAAGAAATACTTAGCAATTATGGGTAGGAGAATAAATTAATATTCTAAGAAGAGCTGAGAGAACTAATTTTAACCACAGAAATATAAACTTCAAACTCCATGAGAATAGGGCTGTTTGTCTTGTTATTGCTGTCATCAGAATCTATAAACGGTAAAAATATTATTGATAAAATTAAGATGGTAATACTCTAGATTACAGACCTATACCTGAAAGTTTCAAATATTCAAATATTCACTAAACACTGACAAAGTAAATACATATACCTTAACAACTCTTTATCACCTGACACACAGTTGTAGTTTTTAACTCAAGAAGGCTTAGCAGTCCTTAAATATAAACAATTTTTCTTAGACCTTAGAGAAACCAACCAAAAAAATCTTTAATACTCACTGAAAATCTAAATTGCTTATTATGAAAAATCTATTTCAGATAAATTTTATAAAATCAGCTCAACACATGTAAAATAGACAACACATTTCAAACGAATATTACTAATAAAAGAGACATTTTGAAGAATACAGTATAGCAATAAATTTTTTCTCAGTATGTAACTTTTATTCTAACTAAAAACAAAAGAAATGTAATTGTCAAATGATACCAAATATTAAAATTTAAAAAATTATTACTACAATTTTCAAAGACCGATATAACATATCAATGTTATATAGAACCCATATGGGGACACATAAACCTATATAA